CTGCTTGTATCTGAACGCAGCCACAGCCTCTCACATGATAGCAGGGAAATGCACAGCCAATCAAAATGTTCATATGTGTTTTGGGGGCGGGAGGACTCAAAGAGAGAACGTGATTTATCCCTTTCTGCGTGTCTAGGTTAATGTTGACAGCACGATTGTTTTTTTTTAATTTTTTTTTTAAGTGGATTAAATTATTGGTTGGGACATTTCAATGGTCGGAGGATATTGGTGGGGACACATCCCCTCCGTCCACCCTAAATCTACGTCCCTGAACCGTTTTATATCCCACGACTTCAGCGCTTTTCCCAGACATCGTCCTCCTGAGATGTTCCATCGAAAGGTAAAGCCCACCATATTCCAGCAGAGGGCGCAAATGCAGAACTGGGAAAAAGACCGCCTGACCGTTTATCAAGGTCATTGTGTTTCCGGCTCTAGTGTATTGTGTCCAGTTCAGATAAATCAGCATTTTATTTCTGCCAAAATGACATTTGCAATGCATAGTAAAAAAATGTGTTCACATCTGGCCTTTCAAAATCAAGTCGATTCAGTAGTAATCAGCAAAATCATTTTCAGCTATTTCTGAAGGTCCCACATATTGGGGGGAAAAAAGTCACAGTGCTTCAACTGGGGTGTGATGCATGGCATCCGAACAGCATAGCTAACAGTCAGACAGGTTGATGCATCTTAATCCTGGCGAGTGCAGCTGTCCATCTGTGAGCTCATCCCTACCTGGGCTCTTTGGCCAATCCTAGGGCTGAACCTTGCTGCCACAGTAACAGGTGGCGACCCCCTCCTCTCACATGCATAATCCCCACAAGCTGTCATGGTGCCTTTTGTTTGTTGTGTGGTCTGGTGGTAGTGACTGCTTTATACGACAGGTCTGTATCATTCTTCCAAGCTCATTTTCTATCTCTCGAGGCCGAACCATCTGGAACCATCTGACATCTGCTTGGGACCTTTGCCCCTCCCCCCATTGATTAATGTACAGTATAGTGTTACATACATGGATTTTCTGGAGTTTCGTTTTCCGTTCTATTTTCATGAATCATTCAACTTATTGTTTTACTGTACTTTGCATTTTTCTTGAACCAGGAACACTCATCTAATAAAGGCACAACCCATATGGAATTACTGCTCTTTATTGTATTGATTCATCCAGATAGTCAAGCTTACTGGTCCAATCAAACAAAGTTTTATTAAACCTCCAATGCATCTTCGCCCTGACATGACAAACATATGGGACAAGATTTTTCATGCATTTCGAACAAGACGCCAAATGAGGAAGTGAGGAGAGACGGGAAAAGGGGAAGTGCTGACAATGAGCATTAGTGCGGACCGCATGCAGGACTGGGTCCATCAGGAAATGGGCCCTAAAATGGTCAGTAACTGTTCGGACGTACAGAACCTTTGAAATTGGATGTTTCATAAAATGAAAAACATGCGTAGCGTCATTCGTTTCTGAAAGTGTACTGATTTTGATTTCCTTTAAAGTTTGAAGGCTTTTCATCGTGCTTGTTTTTCACCCTGGAAGTTCCTCTAATCCTGTCCCCACTGCAGATGTGTTTATATGAGTTCAGGGCCACTTCCAACTGACCCACTGTTGTCAGGCTGTCGGGTTTGCAGACTGGGAATTTCAGCCCAGGTTAGAGATATGTGCTCACACTTCCTTTGGACCATGAACAAAAAGCCACGTCACATGGGGGGGGGGGGGGGGCAGCACACTGGGTCTCAAGATGCAGTTGGAACTACAGTGCAGAGGTACAGAATGTCCAAGGGGGGCAGGAATGTCTGCGTAAAGAAATAAAAGGAGGGGAAGCATTTGTGAGCTGTTCTTTTGGGGAGGGATTTCTCATGAAACAGGCAGTGTTTCTCAACCTAGTCCTCGGGGACCCGTCTTTGCCCCCACCCAGATCCCAGCCAATCAGGGACACCAAATACCCAGCAGGAGGTGCTGGGAGGAAGAAAAACATGGATTGTCTCGGGGTCCTCAGGAACTGGGTTGTGAAATACTAGTGTATATAATCCTGACAGGAGGGCATATGTGGGTGTTAGAAGGGCTTAAAGTCACAAATGACCCTTGGGAATCTCCTGAAAATTATATCAAATTATCCAACAGTTTGTCTTGGTCAAGGTTACTGGGGCACCTTGAGCCAATGCCAGGCAACACGTGGCACAGAGGGCACACCTAGACGAGATGGCAGCGTGGTCTCGGACCACCCTCATTTCAAATTATGTATTAGAAAATATTGGTCCCAATATTGAAAATTCCCTGTTTTCCTTAAAGTCTAATCGTCAGGTAAAACCTGAATATCATTGTGCCTCAGGGAAGCAGTCTAGCAGGTACGATTTCTGTCCTGCGGAGTTTACAAGATCCACTTAAGCTGGTCGTATAAATCCTCGTGGGCAGAAAGAGACCTTTCTGAGCCAATGGGGCGCAAGGAATTTTCTCCTAGGGACACCGGATTTTCACCCAAACCAGATAGATTGAAATAACGGTCAAAAGTCCTCTGAAAAAGAGTAAGCTCTGAGGCTGAGATTGCAACTATGACACAACACAATACACTTACCTTCTGCTGTATGGGAGAAGGTGAGAAGGGAACAGTAATTACAGCCCATTGAACACAGTGGCACTTAAAGACGACAAGCATTGTACAAATTAAACGTTATACCATGAAAAAAAGCGCCTGTAGAAATAACCAGGTTCTAAGAATATGCTGCTTAACGTTTTCTAGTAACGCCTCTAGCAGTGCATAAACAAATTAGGGTAACTAACAGACGTAAACATTGCTCTAGGTCCAGTACGAAACGAAAGCTACCTCTGACCTACTGCTGATAACAATAAGCGGCTCAAGGAGGCAGCTCTGCGACCAAATCCAGAAACCGGTCCGTCACATGACCGCGCATATCGGAGTTTATTTCCGCGTTCACCGGGACCGGCCAGCGCTGCAAGACACTCTAACCCGAATACTTGTGCTCCGCTCCGCCGCCGTAACGTCGCCGCACTGGGGGGAAATCTGGGGAAGGGGAGCCGGGCAGTCCGTCGCTCAGATCCACGCTGCAGCAGTAATATGCTCACACGGGTGAAATCTGCGGTTGCCAATTTCATGGGAGGCATCATGGCTGGTAGCTCTAACGGTGATCACCTCGGTGGCTCCGACTTACCGTTGAGATTCCCGTACATGAGACCGGAGTTTCTCGGACTGTCGCCGGACGAGATAGAGTGCTCTGCGGATCACATTGCACGGCCCATCCTCATCCTGAAGGAGACGAAGAGCCTGCCATGGTCCACGGGTTATGCCGAGTAAGTGCTGCACAGATCGCCGCACGGACTGGCGTGCATGACCGGCGCGTATGCAGCGGCGCTGTCGGTTCTGATTGAATGGGTCACAGGTGGAAATGTGCGAAATTAGCCTCTGGTGTGAGGCGTAATATGCAATTAACATCAGAGGGAGTAACAGGATAAAAAAAAATATGCATTTGCTGGAGACGGCGAATGCATTTCTCGTTTCGTTTAACGGAATACCTGCGTGTTAGTAACGCCTTTGTTCGCGACGTGTAGTATTTATATTTTTAATTTGACGAAATGTAATTCTGTATGCGCGCTCATGAAAATGACAGATGCGCCATATGCATTACGTATTCCAGTTGCTAGGGGGAGTGCAAGCTGTTAAAAGAGCAAATATTAAAATGTCGATCTAAAAATATAAACGCATTCACTTCCAGGATAAACAAATCGGGATTACGTTGTGTTTATTATCTTGCATTTATATTGAGTGAAATTCGTTATTTGATGTTGCACACCGATGTTGCCGACTTAATAATCTGTATATATATATTTATTTTTAACAGCATTTGACTTGACGGACAGTCTTATAACCTCAAATCGGCGTGAAAAGTGCGTGAAATCCGTGGTTCGTGACGTCATCTACGACTAATTCACGGGAAAAAATCAAGGCCATGACATCAGCGTGTGTAGCGTATTGCACGCAGAAATATGTAAGGTGTCCATTCACCGCTGCTGGTCTTAGATACATTATGCTGGAACAGGATTATCCGGGACAGGCTTCCTCGTTTTAAGTTAATTTAAACAGGAATCAGTTACGTTATCAACAAACGTACCTTTCCTCATGTTCAGTTATTCTAATGATGTATTTTTTCCGCAAGTCTGCAAGTTTTAGCCTGTTGTGAGCAGATGCACAAACGTGAATATTTTTAGTGCTGTATATTCTTGCTGTCATTAAATTTAATGTTGCCTCGAGCAAGAGAGGGAGAAACGAAGTGCGTTGCAAGTCAATTTTGGACTGGCGAAAAACAGTGGTGAAGAGTGAGCTAATTCTGGTCTGCAGAAAAGGGATTCAGGCGTGGACTGGAATCCGTGGTGTGAAACAGGATTGAAACATCAACATCAAGATAATGTCATTAATACAGGAGAAAATGTACTTTTCTTCAGATCTTGGAAAGGGGAACTTGAGTGTCATGTGCCTACCTCTGACGCTCCAGTTTCGCACCAAAATCTCACTGTGGTTACAAGAAGAAAAAATCGAGGCATTTATCACAGAGAGATTCCTGTCGTAGCTTCCAGGAGAGAAATGGGAACTGAGAGTTTCAGTGCATCTAGAATAGAGAAGAGCAGATGGGGTGGGGTTAGAGTTGTCTAAGGATGCACTCATAAGGCCACACAGCTCCAGGCTGGGCACTCTTGTAATAACAAGAGCAATCGTGTGTCTGTGCTCCCCCCCCCCGTCAGGGCTCCTGACGACTGGTGCCAGCTGGCTGCCCCAGCCGCTCCGCGGTGTCGACTGCCAGCTTGCTGGCCGTGTCCCCGTTCAGCGCGAGAAGTGTCCCTGTCCCACGGGTCGCGGGACATTGTGGCAGGACCCTGACAGCTACACCCCTCAGCGTCGGCTGTGCTGAAATGCTTATGTAATGTTCATAGGCCTCGTGGGGGCAAAGCAGTGCTTAGGAAAGCTTGGTGCTGTGGCCCCCTCTTAACCGTGAGGTGCGTCAGGAATCCTGACCTGCCCCCCCTCCAACAGTCTGTTTAACTGGCTCAATAAAATGCAATTGAACCAGAAGCCTTCCAGCCCCTCCTCCCCTCCCTGTCTTCCTCTTCACTTCCTGTTCCTGGGAGTCTCTTCCTGTTTCTTCCTGGAAACACTCCTCCACCCCATAACAGCTTGAAGCCGGCCACAGATTGAGCTCCGTGTCAGCAGCTGGGCCTGCTGACGTTATGGAAAGGTGCATGACAGTCAGTCGTCCCTCGAAATACCCTCCTGTTTCTAACGTGCAAGGATGTTCCCCTGACAGGAACATGTTCTTTTTTAAAAGTGAATATTCGTCTTCGTCTGGAACATTTTTGCAGATGTGCATCTGTGGTAGGCAGGGGTTTAGCCTCTCAAATGCAGTGGTAGTTTGAGTCACAGGCGGGCATCAGAAAACCTAAAATCTCCACCAATATTTGAAGAGTAAATTTACAAAACTCAGTCCATGTTTTTGATTGTGTTTGAGATGAGCCCACCGATGACCCAAAGTCAGGTTTCCTCATCATACAGCTCTAGAAAAAAATAACAGACCACAGTACAATTTTTCATTTCACTAATTTCTCAATTTATAGGTGTGCATTTGTGAATTTTATATTATATATATATATATATATATATATATATATATTTATTTATTTATTTATTTATTTTTTGCAAAGTGCAGTCTGGTTCTACTCTTTCTCATTAATGAAGGGCTCCTTCCTTGCTTTATGGGACTTCAGTCCTGCTTCTAGGAGCCTGATATGAACTGTCCTAGCAGTGCACCTCACACCTACACATAATGTTTCCCATTCCTTTAGAAGGTCACTTGAGGTCATTCTTGGATTTATGAGGCACTGCTAGATAAGTTGACTGTCATCTCTGGCATTAGCAAGTTGCTTCTGCCCTCTGCCTGGCTGGTTTCTGGTCGTTCCCAGTGTCTTGCTTCACCATGTTCTTGTGTCCTGCTGTCTTAGAACCTTTGAACCTGGAAGCAGCCTGCTGCTCCGTGTAGCTTCTGCCAGCAGAACCAGGATTAAACCAGGATTTTAAAATGTAGATTTGTTAAAAAATACAGTGGTCTGTTACTTTTTCCAGAGCTGTATGTTATTGCATCAGGAACCAAAACTCACTTATCCTCATGTAATCTGATGATGAAATTTTCTCAAACATATTCCGTGAACTGAGTGAATTTTGGAAATTTGCTCTTCATTTAACTGTTGGCTATTTCAGAAATCGTCAGACATGTCCCGACGGTGGTTCTTGGCTCCTGTACAGTACACAGATGTTGGTGTGCTTATTGAACACGCTCCACGTGTGGTTGGCGGGGCGAGTCTGCTTCTGCTGCACCACGTGTTGCTAGCTTTCGCATTGGCATCTCCTGCCACGACGGGCCGGGTGTCTGTGGGCCGAGTGCCCTGTCCAGCAGATGCCTTCTCCGCATGCAGTGCGTTTCCACGGGGCCACGTAGCACTTCCCTACTGCGGCCGCATGCCAAACTGCCTGCTCTGTAATTTCAAAAGTAATTTAAGCTTTAATTCTTTTAATTTGTGCGAGTGTTCCTCAGTCACGGATGAATTCATTTCATACCTGCAAATAGAAAACTATAGTCTTCTAATGGGGAAGATAAAGCAGTACTTTTATCTTTAAAGGGGACAGTTAATAAATAGGTTTGTATTGCATTCTGGCTGTGTCTTACAGACCTCGGGGTCTGCATGATTGCCCATCATGATTGCCCATCATGATTGCCCATCATGATTGCCCATCTGAGTGACAGTCAAATTCATGTGTTGCAGTTTTTTTTGCTGCAATTTCAATGAGATTTTAGGTAACTGGTGTCCTTCCCCCTTTTTAAAAAATAATCAGCATATCTTTCATATTCCCCCCTTACTGTACCTTCTGTCACCCTGTCCCATCCCTGGTGTGTTAAACGGTACCAGATGGCTACAGACACCCACATACCTGCACTTCTACATTCTGAAAAGTAATAGCACCTCATACACTGGATTGTGGACAAACATTTTAAACCAGAAGAGGGTCATTTGTGCTCCGCAGATTGTGCGGAACAGCTAGTGGTTCACCCAGATGTCTGTTGAGCTGACATTTTGCCCAGTAATCCCATTTCCCATTAATGATTCATTAATAAACAGTCATTGCATGCAGTGCCTATATGGTACAGGCAGCTCTCGCTTTCTGAGCTCCCAATTTACAAGTTTATATCTTTGCGGGAATTGTCTGCGGCAAAAATATAAAAATTTAATTTTTCGTATTTTTTTTTTAACAAATTGCACACAATTCAACCTGCGTTGCCCAAAAACACTGTTCGTTTTTAAAAAAAATAATATTTTTTATTTCAGTTCTATGGGACAATCAGAATCAAAATACCTCCCGCCTTATGAGCTCTCGATTAACGAGCAGTAATTTAGCTCGTAAAGTGAAGAACTACCTGTACTTAAGAAATGTGGGAGCACAACACTTAATGACATGTAGGAGTAACACTGTAGCTATTAGACACAGGAGCTACAAAAAACTGCTAAAAACACTGGAGCCAAACTGTACCCATGCGGAATGAGCTGAGAAACTGCACCAGTGTTGTTCATAATGTATTACTGGGTTACAGGATTGCTTTTCTACCTGTTCTTACGGCGAAACTCAAGCCGATCAGCATAATGTATGCCTGTCTAGTCTTACTGCTGGTCTTCTGATCATGTACCACTGAGCAGTCAAATGCTATTGGTGCACTTCAGAATGAAGCGGGCTTCGCCAGATAACAAAGTGAGGGTCCAGTGTGGTCACATGTTGACCTAGATGGTCATGTGGTCAAGATGACCAACCATTCATAGAAGCAACCAGATAGGGGTGTAGGAACCAAGGAGGATGTATGCGGCGGAGTCCCCCAATATCAAACTCTCCTCCCCCCATCTTTTAGCATTTAATAGGGCACACAGTCTTGCGTCATTTCATCCTAGCCAGACTCCGTGACCTGGGTGTGGATGTTTGTGTTGTGCCAGACGGAGAGTAAAATCTAACAATTTCCCGTTACAGGCAAGTCCTGGGTTGTGTTTGTGTCGTGTGAACTGTGCATGGCCACCGCAGAACAGAATGGTACCTGGGACGGCCTGTGAACACTAATTAGTGTTGGTGTTAGACAGCAGTGTTGGTGTTAGACAGCAGTGTTGGTGTTAGCAGTGTTGGTGTTCAGCTGCGCGTGTGCGCTGATGCGTCGGGAAGGAGGGTGTGACTTTCATGCCACACTCCTTAGTCTCCCAGGGAACCTGTAGCGGTGGTCAGTAAGGTTATATTAAAAGCATTCTTGTGATTACCATTACTAAATACCTTGCTAATACAGTAGACAAATGTGTAACATCAAATTGAACTTGGAATTCTAAGCAAGATTAGGTACAGTCTTAGCTATAAAAGTAAAATTTTGACAGATGTTCTTCTTTTGTTCCACTGCCCAGTGGGTTGTTTGTATCAGACACAACTCGTTGAATGAAACAAGACTCCATTTGCTTATTCATTATCGAATGTAAGTCCCAAGTTGCCGTTGGCTGGGATCCACTCGTCCCTGGAGAGGACTGTTGCGCTTGGCTCTGGCTCCGTCTTGATGTTTCATGTGCAAACCCCTTGAGGTCCAGGTCTGCTGGGTGTCTGGTTGGCAGCCGAGCTGATTAGACACTCTGCGGCTTAAGGGAGCTGGAAGATCTCCTCTCGTTTCATGAGCTGGCCAAAATCTTGTGCCGAATTCCACACAGAAGGTCTGCAAGGAGACGGCTGCTGCCCCAGGCACCGTCGGTCGCAGCTCTCAGTTTCATTTAATTCCGTCGACGATTGTGGCAGGCAGAAGCCAGTTGGCACCGAGGACCATGAAAGTTGGGGTCTGTCTGGTTCATTTTAGCAGGCGGCTTCAGCATTAACGTCAAACAGCTAGCACATAAGTACTCTGAAATGTAAGCAAGATCAGACGGTTCTGAGACTGCGTGATTGTGACATAGGAGAGTCTGGGAGAGCAGAAGTGAAAAATCTCATTCAGGGAAATTCTAGTGACAGATAGAGCTTATTTGAAGGTATTTGTGTTGCATTTTTTTTTTCAGAACTGTAACTTACTTGAATGATGTTTGTGGGAGACCTGTGTGGTAACAGAATTCAAACACAGAAGCAGGAGAAGATTTCTAATACAGCTGATGAATATTTGATGGGTGTGGAAGGGAAACTCGCCCAATGTTCAACACCAGCATTCCTTCCCCAAGCTTCTGCCCAGATCTTTTCTCAGGCCTCTTTTATACCCGAGTTGTTTTCCAGAAAGTGGCTGAAGGTGAGGTTCCTCCTTACTTTGTAACTTCTCTGAAATTATTCAGGTTGCTAGGATACAATTGGGGTGGGGGGGGGGAGCAGCCGTTCCCACAGACAGCCTACCAGGTGGCCTTTATCAATCTGAGACTTGACTTGTTCCTAGTGGTTGCTAGGGAAAGAGGCCGCGTGTCCTTGGGCATTCTTCTTTCACAAAGGGCATGATAGGATATGTGAAAAGCAGCACTCCAGTGTAACTGTATTTGTGCAAATGGTAAAGGAAGTACCATTTCTCTTTATACCTGTTGACTGAGTATTAATCAGTCACTAACAGTGTTTATCAATGATGATGATGATAATATTGTTTACATTCTTAATTTGTACTGATCAGTGGTTTACTTTGGGTCATGCTCTGTGCCTTTTTTTAAACAGCACCATCTAGTGGGGTCAAAAAATACAGCAAATGGTTCAAAAAGCATCGTTTTGTCCATCGCTACAGCACAGACTGCACTAGTGCCACTGTGAGTATCCATGGTGTATGTGATTGTCGCCAATAGGGTCATCAATGCAGGGAAGAGCACCCTGAACGAGGACCAGGCCTGCTGCGAAGTGGTGGTGGTGAAGAGGAAGCCAGGCGTGTCCAACACTCCCAGCAAGACGCCCACTTCTAAGAGGAGGTCCTCACTTCCTAACGGGGAGGGTTTAGGGCTGAAGGAGAACTCTGTAAGTAGCCCACATTTATTTTTCTGTACCTTATCTCAACATCCCATAGCCCTCACGCCTGTCAGTCCATGGTCTCCTGCTCTGGAAGTCTCACCCTCATTTCCTACAGTACACCTATCATTCCTGCCTTCTCCAATTTCCACACACTCCTGCTGTTACATTCTCTGGATCTTCCCCTGACCTCCGATTCACCCCACATTGACGTGTTCCAGACCAGCATTCATGTCAGACAGATCGCTTTGCGATTGGTTCGGTCTTCCTGAGGCCCACGCATGGCCAGATATCCTGAGTCATCTCCTGTGCATTAGCTGCTCTCTTCAGCCTGCATCCACTGCGACAGGGAAGCAGTAATGCGTTTCATCAGGAATAGCATTTAAAGGGCACACAGTCTTGCATCATTTCATCCTGACCAGACTCCGTGACCTGGGTGTGGATGTTTGTGTTGTGCCAGACGGAGAGTAAAATCTAACGTCGCTCAGGTTATTGGTAGAGAGAGAGATGATGGGGCCATTGGTCGCTGAATTAGAGCCGTCTGAAGCTTCTTCTGGGTCTGAGGGTATTTCTCTTTACGTGATAATAACCGTTCAACTGTTGTTGCTGAGATTTGGCACGGACTGGGTGACTTACTTTTGGAATGATGTTTAGCTGAGTAAAATCGCCAGGTATACGCTTCACAGGAGATCAGCATGAAGGGCAATTAGCCTAAGCTTTGGTCCATGTAGTTTATTGCCGGAGGTGAATTTGTGTTGTATGGTGCAAGAACAAAGAGACATGCAGCCCAGCCCTGTGTTCCGTCTCCTTACAACCAAATGTGCCGCTTTGGATACTGAGAAAACTGCAGGCCAGTTTGTCTTGTGGATATAATGGGTCTTGTTTGGAGGGAGTTTGAGGATGGTTACCCCCCCCCAAGTGGATGGCTAAGGCGATTGGGATGCAGTGCCTGTGATTGCGAGATCCTTAACCTGATTGGCTGACCCCCTGGAGTCCTGCTCATGATAGTATGATAAGAATTATATATACTGTACTGTGGCCTTTTTAATATATCATGGGAATGAATTTATAAAATATCAGCACGATTTAACTAAAAACGAGGGTAAAAATTTGTAAAACATGTCCACGATTTAGTACATCGTGGGAACGAATTAACAAGATATGGCCACAATATCTATAATTTCTAACTAATATGAAGGAACGATTTAGCTAAACGTGGCCACGATATATATAATTCTTATCGTTATTGATCAAAAGCGATGTGCATTTTTTTTGAGAAAGCAGGGTTATGAAGAGCGCAGCTCATGATAAATAACGATAAGAATTATATATACTGTGGCCTTTTTAATATATCATGGGAATGAATTAATAAAATATCAGCACGATTTAACTAAAAACGAGGGTAAAAATTAGTAAAACATGTCCACGATTTAGTACATCGTGGGAACGAATTAACAAGATATGGCCACAATATCTATAATTTCTAACTAAAATGAAGGAACGATTTAGCTAAACGTGGCCACGATATATATAATTCTTATCGTTATTTATCATGAGCTGCGCTCTTCATGACCCTGCTTTCTCAAAAAAAAAATGCACATCGCTTTTGATCAATGTGTCTGCTAAAGAAATAAAATGTAAATGAGGCCGTTCCATATACAGAGACGGTGAGAGTGACCGATAATTTAAGCATGAATATCCGCGGAGAGAGATTTCCTCATTCCGCGTGTTGATTTCGGTAATTGAAGCGGCTCTTAATCTAATCGCGAGAGGCTGTCTTTTGTTTGCTCATCTCATGCTGGGTGAAGATCGGTAACAGAAGAGCCTGTTGTTCCTCCCCGCTGCGCTGCTTCGCTGTGCAAACACTCATTTATCTTGTTTACCGTTTCGCTTATCCCCAAGGTCGTGGGTTTCGGTCTGGGCTGCGTGGGCTGCAGGGTGCCATATTATGGCGGCTAAGCTGAGTTCTGCGGTCCTACTCTTTGATGCCTTATGCCCAATTTTAGTCACATTTCTGTGACTCCGATTGCCGCTGTTGATGTCAGCTCCCTGTTTCCTTGAATGCGATAGCAGTATTGACGGTTTGACAGGACCGACGCTGGAAACTGCATGCTGGGTTTCCCGGTTTCCCTGTCTGCTGTTGGGTGATTCATCCGCAGCCACAGTGTGATATAATCACGGCTAAGCCGACTGTCACTGCGGTGAGGGTACATTTAGGGCTTTGAGGAGATTTGTGAGGACCTCTCTGTCCAACTACTGTCCATATATCATTTACGTCACATTTAATTTATTCAAGCGGATGCTTTTCGCCAAAACAACGTGCAGTTGAAAATGCAGAGTCAGTCAGTCCCTGGAGTAATTGGAGGTTTCGGATCTTGCTGGGCGGCACGGTGGTGCAGTGGTTAGCACTGTCGCCTCACAACAAGGCTTCGGTCCCTGGGTCACCCAGGGTGCCTTTCTGTGTGGAGTTTGCATGTTCTCCCTGTACATGCGTGGATTTCCTCCAGGTTCTCCGATTTCCTCCCACAGTCCAAAGACATGCAGATTAGGTCATTTGGCTACTCTAAATTGCACATAGGTGTGACTGCGAGTGTGTGTGGCTGTTTGTCTGTGTTGGCCCTGTGGTGGACTGGCGACCTCCCGATGACCCAGATGGATTAAGCAGTATAGATAATGGATGGATGGATCTTGCTTAAATGACCAACAATGACGTCACTTTGCCATTCATAGGCTTTGGACCAGTAACCTGCTGAGTCACAGTCCACTCCATGTGTGCAGTAGGTCTGATTTTGATTACGTTCACACAGGAGTCCGAGGGGCTGGCTTTCCACTACTGGGCGCTGTTCGATGGGCACGCCGGCTCGGGCGCGGCTGTGGTGGCGGCACGGCTGCTCCAGCACCACATCACCGAGCAGCTGCGGGACGTGCTGGACATCCTAAGGAATTCAGCCCAGTCCCCGCCCACCTGTCTGGGTGAGGAGCACCCCAATTGCACGCCGAGCTCCCACCGCACCCTCACGCGCGCGGCCTCGCTCCGGGGGGCCGCCGGCGCCCCTGGCTCGCCCAACACTCCGCCCGCTCGCTTCTTCACCGAGAAGAAAGTCCAGCACGAGAGTCTGGTCATCGGAGCCATTGAAAACGCCTTCAGGGAGATGGTGAGTCCGTCCTCCGACAGCCGCACACAGCATGGTGATGACGCCGGTTCTGCTAAGTCTTGCCTAGAACCCGTCTAATGAGAAACCTTTGCTCTCAGTGCCGCCGCAGTACCGGGACCAGGAAAACTATGGACCCAGTGATTCTAGAGAACTTGTGGCTCAGCCATCAAAGGCTTACTGACTCCAATGAGGGACCCTTGCGCTTTAAGTACTAACCCGCTTCCATAATTCACTCATCTAGAGTTTATACCCACCTTATTTAAAATAAATGAATGTGGGATCTGGTGTGGGGTTAACGACCCACCATCTGGGCTGGATGCCCGAGGCAACCTGCAGGGAAATCACAGTCTAAAGACCCATAAATCACATGTTTGGAAGTGCCGTCTCTCGCCAGTCGAGCCGGTGTCTGTCCACATCCATAATGGGCCATAATGATGTCACATAATCCTACTGGGTACATCCCATTTACCCATAAAGTCACTATAGCTATTGTAGGTGATTTCAATGACATCTACGCACAAAAATTTCCATTTTCTTCTGCACAACCACTACACTTGGAAACGTCTGTCCTGAAACTTGTATCAGTCTATATTATTTAGATAAGCATTCAGCAATGTGTTTTCGATTACGGATATAGAAATAAAATGTAGTAATAATAATAAACCGGAATGACCACTAGATGGCAGTGTGACTCAACAAAAACGTTTGTATGAGGTTGCAAAACGTTATCCCCCGAAATACTGCACAAACATGTTGGAAATCGGTTACCCTGGCTGGGGATATTTATAAACAGGGGCATATGTTCTTATTCTCGTTTGCCTCATGCTGGTTTTTAATGATTCATGAACCGTGCAGTCGTGACAAACGGAATACACGGAGGATCCGCGCCAGGGCGGCCAAGGCGCAGACTCTCGGCGTTCGCTCCAAACAGCAATCATCCATCTTCCCTTCTTTTGTCACCTGTACCGTTCGTCTGTAAATTATTCAAAATGTAGTTTATGCAGGACAATGGCAGCTGCAATAATTGAGTCGGCCAGATGCCAAAGCCAATGACTAATAAGTCACTGGCCAGTTTTGATTTGCAGTAAGGCTTTTAAAGACATACTGATGGTTTGGATCCGTATCTGAAAAATACTGTTGCGCCCCCAACCCCACCCCCACCCACCCCGGAACCGTTGCATGCGGCATTCGGTTCAGACAACTGGTTAACTGAGACACAACTGAATATTTTTTGAAAAATAGATATACAGAGAATGATTTAAGCGCAGTGACCCTCAAAGTGTTTTTTCGATCACACGGATTCGGCAAACGCAGTGAAAAAGCTTTTGCTCATGAGCAGCAGATTTAACACGGAGGATGAAACGCGGGGAGCAGAACACAGATGTTTTTCCAGCTGTAGTTCCCCTATAGTGACACCCACAGCACGATGTTACATCAAAGCAAAAAAAAAAATCAAAATTTGTTTTTTTTTCTCCAAAAATTTAACAGGATGTTTTTCCTCGCAATTGAAACTTCCAGCACCTTCATTTTAGATTTTGGACAGTAGATGCTAAGGGTATGATATCTGAGGCATTTGTCACCCTAACGGCCTGCTTTATAGTGGGGCCGCTTTTTACAGTCATGGAAATGAGCGACGCGTCTCTGTAGCAGAACCTATGAGGTGCTGTCAGATCCACACCCCGGGGCCACAGATCTGTTCTCTCATGCCTGGTCTTGCACGTCGATCACGGTGGGAGGTTAGAAGGACCTGGAGGGATGCGGCAGTCTAGTCTGCCCCCCCACTACTAATCAGTCAGTCGATTCAGTCACCGAGCTGCAGAAGCTCCACCCAACCGTTGCTCACAAATTGCCGCCACCCCCCCAGCCTCTCGGGGATGGGGCTTCTCTGGAGAAAAGGGGCGGCACCCTCAGCTCGGCTTTGCGGGCTGGCCCGACTCTGGATCTCGGTGCCAATTCCATTACAAACGGGGTCCATTAATCCTCGCTCCCCTCCCGGCTCGGTCCCGGGTTTGCGTCCAAGCTCCAGTTGAAATGCATTCAGGATGATTCCCTGAGGTGACGTTAAATGAGACCCGTGACATGCGCGCTAATTACATACCACTGAAACTGGACCGCGTGTCAGATCATATCCTGATTGGTCTTATGGAGTATATTCAGGTTACCAACAAAAAGTAAATTTGAATTGTATTTTTTCTGAATAATTAATTCAGAGATTCATTAAAAATGCATACCGTTAATTAATGTAATGGATTTTTCATCTTTTCTTGGTTTAATTAGCATAATTAATCTATTTAATTAAAACAGAGAACGTGATATTGGTTACCACACTTCTTAGCACAGTTTCTCTGGCTCCTTGTGTTTCTGTTTGCCTACTGATAACATTTTGTCTTTGTGTTTTTTTTTTAAAATATCATTTCTTCCTCTTCCTTTTTAATTTATTTCAGACTTTAGTATGATGAAAGATTATAACCAGGACCATTAAAAGTGCAGTGAATTTCTAACAGAAATCCGCATGCCTTGTGCTCTTGTTTGCGTGTTTGTTCATGAACGCTTGTGTGTACACGGCCGCAGGACACGCAGATCGAGAGGGAGAAGGCCATTTACAACATCTCTGGCGGCTGCACGGCGCTGGTCGTGATCTTTCTGCTGGGCAAGCTCTACGTAGGCAATGCCGGAGACAGCAGGTAACGGGCATGTTACCCATAATCCTCCCTTGTCTTTCACGGGCAAATCAGTTTAGAGCTACATTGACTGATGGGTGCAGCACTTCAAGGCACCAGAGCAGACTGTCTTCTTCCTTTTGGTTACTGAATAATATAATGATATGTTTAAATTAGTGTGTCTCAGCCCAGGCCTCAGCAAATCCCCCAGACAGTCCACAGTTTTGCTCTCCGCACACCTGGACCAATAGCAGCGAATGTCTGGTACTGGCGTATTAGAAGTGGGAGGGAGCAAAAATGTGACTGAATGTGTGTTAGGGGTCACTGCGGACTGAGCTAAGAAACTCTGCTTTACATAGTGTAATAAAACGTTTGTTGGTGTTGTTTGGTTTAAAGAAAGTCTCCTGTGTCGTACTGAAGTTGAGGTTTATTGCAAATGATGGATAGTGAGAAAGGCCGTCATATGTGAGAGCGTGACTGCGTCATCGCCGAGGCCGTGTCGTCACAGGAGTGCCCCCCCCCCGTTAAATGCTCCTATAAACAGAGCTGCCCTGACCAGTGGTCGCTGCTGTCACCCACAAAGAGAGGGGGCTGTGAATCACCCTCCAGATGGGGCGTCGAGACCCTGGATCTCCACAGATATATGAGCTGCTCCCCCGGGGCCACGACACCTCACCACTCCCCCTGCCCATGACACACAGCCCACCTCAACCATGTTCAATAACCCAGACCCGAGCCCCCAATCTTGGTGGTCTTGGTGACCCCGTAGACCTGGCCAATTTAACCAATCAGCACACGGCCTGCAGTGGTTTCTGAGCTGAACCCCAATGTTGTCACACACAAGGTGTGACCCATGTCCCTGGTTGTTCTTTTGTAAATAATTCCCTTGCTTTTGTTCAGCCGTTCACCTTGACTTTAAATGCCCCCCCACCACCCACCCACCCCCACCCTGGAAGTGACTGGCATTTCAGAGCTGCCTGCAATTAGCAGGTCAGTAGGTATTCAGCTCTGTCAGCCTTGCAGGATCACACATGCTAAATGGGAAGAGGCTGGTATCTGCAATGCTTTCTGTCGCCCTGCAGGGCCATCATCATCCGTGGCGGAGAGATAATCCCGATGTCCACGGAGTTCACGCCCGAATCGGAGCGACAGAGGCTGCAGTTTCTGGTGAGACTGCCGGCAGTGCGGTGGCGGGTGGAGGGTGTTTGCCGGGGAGGGGTGACACACTCCCTGCCTCGGTCACAGTGACCTCAGCATGTTAGCAGTCAGGCTCAACAGCGTAATGACCTGCCGGAGAAAATGCAGAAAAACCAGAATAGAATAGCGATACTTTGTTAATCCCCGTGGCGAAAGTCTCTTTTTGCCAACTCCATGCATGACGAGCATAAAACTCTAACCCACCGAACCAGAAGCCATCCGATGGTGTACAAGGTCTCTGTCACGTCATACGGCAATGAGAAGAAGCGTGTCTAAGAGGAGTCTCACATGGCGCGACCTTGTCTCCCCCCCCCCCCCCCCAAAAAAAAAAAGGCCTACATGCAGCCCCACTTGCTTGGCAATGAGTTCACACACCTTGAGTTTCCCCGACGCGTGCAGAGGAAGGAGATCGGCAAGAGGATGCTGTACCGAGACTTCACCATGAACGGCTGGTAAGCGACCTGAAGCCCGTCTCCCATCCTCTCCAAAATCACCCGCCATACTCAAGCATTATAAATAAATCAGGGCGGTGTGTTATAAATAATGTAACGCAACAGACCCTTCCCACTCGCGGCTCCGCCGCGGTGCGTTGGGCTCCCCCTTAACCGCTATGCGTCACGTCTGCTCGAATGGGTGTGACAGATTGGCTCTCCTTAAGCCATCAGACACTGTGATGCGTATTTGAGCAAATCCAGCTTTACGGATGTGACATTTACACTCATATTGGCAACAAAATGCCTCAGAGCACGGGCAGGCTTAGAATCAATCAGTCGATTTGCATATCTTTTCATGTAGCGTCTTGGGCTGAATATGGGTACATCTTCATAATTTATATATTGATTCACATGTTACAAATATGTAGCATGTTATCAGCGTCGTGGGTGTGACATCAAACGGACTTTTTCACAGAATCACACGTATGTTGCTTGTTGTTCACGGTACCAACATCATCGCCAAAGCAGCAGCGGTATTGCAGCGCGACGTCTGTGCGTACCTGGTGTTCGGACCCCAGGACCTCCCGGTGAGGCTGTGAAAGGGGCCGCTGTCTGGACCGTCCTCCGTGCAAAAGCCGCGTGTGCCGGAGCTGTGCTCTGATGAATAAGCAGTTTCCAGTGCGAGACCTCAGTCTCACCCCACGCTCTGCAAACACAGAGGGATCAACGAGTGATTCCGCGTCTCTTAGCCCCTTTTCCATGTTTCATTACCATGGAATACGGCTGTGCAGCAGTGCTTGATCAGGAACCCTTCTCTTGATAAACATTTACAGTGTAATAATGATCGACCATTTAAATATCATGTTTAAATCAGCGTGACTGACTGGGGGCGAAATGTCCTTAATACGGATTCTTTTATTGGATAGCTTTCATTTGTCAGATTAAACAGAAAAATCATGCATTAGATAAAATAGGATTGGTGGTGATGTGGGGGGGTGATACCGTCTGGACTCCTTCATGTGCTTTAGCCTGTCTGATCACGCGTCTTACTCAGACCCCGCCCCCATCATCTGATTGGACGGGGTATGCCATACGTCACATACACTGACAGCTGCTTCTGATGACAGTACGCTGTGGAAGAGTGGGAAATTAACTAGTCTAGCATGTTGGCGGGTGGGGGATAGCCGTGTCCTGGGAGGGTGTGTCAGTGAAACACCTACTCACACCTCCTACTCATACCTCCTACTCACACCTCCTACTCACACCTCCTACTCATACCGCATCTGCAGTCCGTCGCACATGTCCCACCTATAAGCCTAAATTTGAGGAAGCACTTCTTTACACAGCATGTAGTTAGAGTATGGAATAGTCTTCCTGCTAGTGTAGCGGAAGCTAAAACCCTGGGTTCCTTTAAATCAGAGCTAGATAAGATTTTAACAACTCTGAGCTATTAGTTAAGTTCTCCCCAAACGAGCTTGATGGGCCAAATGGCCTCCTCTCGTTTGTAAATTTCTTATGTTCTTATGTTCTTATGAGTGTAATACACGTCGAGGACACCGTTTCCTGTTTCAGGACTGACAGGGTCTGGCTGGGGATCGCATCAACCGGACACGAATATTGAACATGGATGAGGTTCCACCGTGAGAGACGAGAAGGGAAAGTAAACCCTGTGAGCAGAAACGTGTGTGCATCAGGACACGAGAACAGGAGAGCGATGCGTTTCGGGATGGACACGAGAACAGGAGAGCGATGCGTTTCGGGATGGACACGAGAACAGGAGAGCGATGCGTTTCGGGATGGACACGAGGACAGGAGAGCGATGCGTTTCGGGATGGACACGAGGACAGGAGAGCGATGCGTTTCGGGATGCACACGAGAACAGGAGAGCGATGCGTTTTTGGACAGGCAGCCAGTCAAGGACACGGAGGCTGCCTCCTTTTATACATAATGCAGGGGCCAAGGAATGGGCGGGTTTACCAGTCACCTGGCACTCCTTCCATCTCGCATTCCCCAAACGACAATTTTATAGCATGCATCTCTAGCTTCCTGCAAACCCTTACTTTCTTTTTGTAAACAACTCATTAGTTCAGTTCATCGTCAAATATGTTTAAGCTTTCCTGTTCCTAGTTCATGTCTTTCCCGACGAAGTGGGTTCCTCATTCAGTAATTTAAGCTATAATTTGTCTGGAACAACCAGGAAGGTGCTGACGGCCTTGACATGGTGCAGACCGCGATGCGAGCCGGTAATCACGGCAGCTTATGAATTTTCATTGAGTGGCGCGCCGCTGACGGGAGCCGCGCGGAGCACTGGGTGATCGCGGGGGATCGTGGTGCCTCCGGAGCAGACGGCGGGGAGCGCAGGAGCGTGCCGCCGAGACGTGAGGATGTAGGTCGGAGTGGCTCGTTAGTGAGGCTCGCGATACCGAGGAGACGGGGCCTCACGGTTCATTAGTGGTGGGGGGGGGGATGTATAATTAAACACGCTGCTCACTAACTGGTCACCCTTAAGAGAAGAGCAGCAGAGATCCATGTATATAAAAAAGAACAGCGTATGCAAGTGGGAAGGAGCAGAAATAACCAAAAAAGACTATAGATAATATACTGTGTGTACGTATGTATATGTGCATATATACATATATATGTATGTGTGTGTATATATTGTGCATATATATTATATACTGTGTATGTTTACATATGTATGTATGTGTGTGTGTGTGTGTGTGTGTGTGTGTATATATATATATATAATTCTTTTTTTTTTTGCTACCTGCATTTCAATTGACCAGCATTCTGATGGTGAGATCTTTTGTTCTTAGGATGGCAGGGACACTTGAATGTCATTCCATTTTGGGAACTCAGGAAAGACTGAGGAAGTGTCTGCATCCCCGTGTGTGTGTGTGTGTGTGTACGGGTGTCCCAGTTATACTGCCTGGCTCCAGGATGGAATTTGCCACAGCTCTTCGGGGGGGGGGGGGGGGCACCGCAGTGATGGATGTGCCGCAGTGTGTGTATTCTGCATGCACAAGCGCTCCCGGGGCGAGCGGTGAGGACAGGCCGTGCGTCGCCGTGACAGTGATCAACGGTTCCTTGTCTGGTATTCCTGAAGGCAGCTTTCACTCTGTCAGGGGTCCCCTCCAGCTTCCTGGAACAAAGGAGCAGAGAATAAACAGCATTGCAGCATTAGAGCTGTGCAGATTAACAGCCCCCTTTACACACCATTGAAATAGCCACACCCCCAAGTTTGGCCACACCCCCCCCTCCATCAAGCCTGCATAGGGGTGACGGTTCTCTGCAGTTGTCTTCATAATGCCAAATAAATTGGAGGGGGCAGTTTGTACAGCAGAAATTTATATATTCCAGCATGTTACAAAACCAAAACCCTGGCAGTTCTTCACTTGAAGCAGCCGACAGTGTGTGCAGTGATCAGCCGTCTGTCAGTGCAGGCATCCCCCACGACGGAGATGCTGGAAAGTCACGCAAGGTCGCCACACCTCGAGGTGGTCTCTGACTGAGGAAGGGAAGGCCAGGTAGAAGCGTTCAGCTGTACCTCAGCCTGAGCACATGAGAAAATGACTGTGGTATGACATGATTATATTGATTATTAACCTACGAAATTTGTAACGTACAGTAAAAGTAGTTCTTCTACTCATATACAGCTAAGGGTGAAACCCAGCACGCTAAGAAGTTATTATGCATCATTAAATCAACAATAAAATGGCATTACTGTAGCTCTGCCCCTTGTTTTTCATACACGAATTACCTCCAGCTTCTCACATCCGGCGTTTTTTTGTTAAAATACAGAAATGAACATATTTCGTTGTTGCTTATGCTAACCCCTGAAGCTCACTGTACGCAGAGGGGTGACGACTCCCATCCTCTTAGCTAACAACCGGTACGTTGCTTCCTGGTGGTTTTCAAGTGGATGGCTTGTTAACGCGATTCCATTAAAAAAAAATACCCTTATTATTCTCGAAGCCTCTAAATATAGCGTTTTAATCCGTTTAGGCATGATATGGGGTTAGTCACTCTTGCCTGGACTGAAGCTTCGGCTGCAGGTCTTGATGTCGCTTACAGTTGCAGAGGTGACTCACGTGTGTAGGAGGGACTTGAAGATGTTGTCTGTCACAGTTTTCTTTTGAACAGCCCCCCCACCCCCGCCCCCGAAGGATGTGAGTCGCTTTCAATGGTGAATGATCTCCTGATTTCCACCAAAGCAAACATCTGACCCTGTCTCGGTTGCTTGAGGTTTTAATGCATGCCGGGTCTCTGATGGATCCATCCAGTATCAGTTATGGAATGCGAGGTCCTGGTGAACCTGTGATATATACATTTTATTTATTTAGCAGGTGTTTAGCAGGTGTTTTTATCTGGATGTACATCTTTGAGGAAGCATAGTCTTCCAGTTCCTGGACCTGTTGGGGGTTAAGAGTCTTGCTCAAAGGGACAACAGTGACATCGCTCAGCTGACTTAGGGATTTGAACCAGTGAGCTTTTGGTTAAAGGCAGGACATCCCCTAAGCCACATATTGCCTCTATAAGTTTGACTGTGTTGGTTGGGAATTGACCTCAAGTGACATCTTGACCTCTTGGTGCTGTATCACCAAGGCACAGGGCCAACATAGAGATGCCGCTTCATCGCAAGCTACACACAGTCAGAAGGAATGTTAACGGCGTCCCATTTGCTGTACGGCGAACATCTTCGGGCTGCGGGCTTGACCAGGAGACGCCGGCAGACACCTTCGTGAACACAGAAGAACATGCTAACTGCACATCCGCAGAGCTGGGCGCCTGTCAAACTGCAGTTCACGTAAAGCCTGGTGGTAATATCTCTGTGGTGAAATGGGAGGGTGCTGGTTTTACCTGAAGTGAAAGTAATGTAGAATCATATCACCGCTCCTGCTTCACATTCATGTTGCGCAAGCCACAAATAGCCCTCAGAGCGTTGTACGTTTGGGAAATTAGGACCATTAGATGTGATATAAGGCCGACACACTTCCCAGACTGCCTGCCTGCATGCGTGCTGGTGGGATGGCATCCTGGAGGTGATTGCTGGAGCAGGTATTAAAGCGAGATTAATTTCCTTCAGTCATGCTGTCAAAGCAAGTTAATTTCAGGCTCTGCAGATGAGGAGCTATCGCAAGTGCGTCTGCGTTCTCAGCACTGTCGCGGTCCCTCTGGGGAGCCACGAGGAAGCCCTTTGATATCGTACCACGGGAGTTTCCGGCTTCAGGGCGCCTTCTATTGACGGAGGAAGGATGAAAAGAGAGGGACCGTAGATCGGCGGGTGTTTCTGTGGAGAGCCAATAGCTCCTGACCCGCCGGAGTAGAAATGCTGACAGTGGAAATGTGCGCAGCGTGAAAGCATATGTTCCCCTCGACTTCCTCCAGCAGCCGTGTGCTCAGTGGTCCTCTCTGTGTGGCCTGACCAGAACAGCAAGGATAAAGATCGCATTGTTTTTTGTTTTTTTTTTTTCCCCCTCGCGTTTTCATCCCAAAGCTTGTGAAAAATGACGGCAAAGACAGATGAAGTAATGAGTCGCCATTTTTAACGTAGCGGCAATGTCTCGTGAGAATGTTCCGCAAAGAACCGGCGCCTCTGGATCACCAGAAGCGTGACTGCACCAGCGCATTTCAAAATCAGTCAAGAATTTTTAAAGAGAACGCAGAATGTTGAGAAAACAGAAGTCAGACAAGGGTCTAAAGACTGAAAGCCTGAGCTAAATATCCAGTGACATGTGCAATGGCTGGTCCAGTAGGCACTGGGAACGTGGCTCTGATCGTTCCTGGGCTTCACGGCTCAGAGAGAATAGTGAGACACCAGTGATCCCAAGATGGTTCACACGCGGGCGGGCAGCACCGCCCACCTGCCTACCTCTGGGACAGCCGGGGGCGGGCAGATGGATGCCCCTTAATGACTGCCGGGCTGGTGCCACTCTCATGCATGAAGCTTTCATCACCAGGTCTAATCCTTAATCAGGAGCGATCAGGAAGGCTGATCGCTTCATTAATCACCCACGTGAGCAAGAGCAGATCAGTAGGCAACCCTTCATGGCTGACATTGTTTAAAATCTTCACGCAAAGCAAAACAAAGTAATGGAATCGGATCAAACGTGAACATATGGGCACCCACATTAGCGATGCCGTTTAATCCGAAATTCTCCCTATTGCTGTTCCTTTGAATCAAGTCATTATTGGCATGACAATTACAGGCTTTTGACTAGTCGTTAACAAAAACAATGTGAGGAAGCCATGCCTTAGTATCCTGACATCTCCATCAGTGTGCGGAGGTCGCGTAGCCTCAGCCAGGACCGTGACGCTGTTTTTTAGCGGAATCGACAAAGCGGTTCCCACGGCGACGTCTCCTCGCAGAAACCGCCTGCACTACCGCCGTCTCAGATTCTTCACCCTGTTAGTTGCCATGAATTATTCACGCCTGTCGGCGCTCTCGCATTGATCTCTCAGGAAAGCCGTTTCAGAAGAGTCCTGATGCGCGTATAGCCACATGGCACATGCAGAATCGGTATGCTGCCAGCGGCGCGACGGGACGGCCTGCATCTCCGCTTCAAATCTGTAGCGAGGAGAAGTGCGGTGAACGTCCCACGCCGCTAGACACACCAGGGTAACCGCAGTGTTTCACACGAGTTTCTACAGAGTCCCGTCCCCCCCATCCCCCACCCCGCCAGTAGGAAAGACTCAACTGCAAGTCTTGGAGGGGGGTGGGAGCAAAATGCCATTTTGCTGGTGGGGCCATAAAACAAAAATCCATTAGTGTCTCCTCCTTTCTCCACACAGGGCGTATAAAACCATCGATGACGATGACCTGAAGTTCCCTTTAATATATGGAGAAGGCAAGAAGGTAAGAGCACAATCTGGGTGGCAGAATTACTGTCTTGGCCTTGCACGCCTGGCAGAGATCGATACGTCTGTGGATGGCAGTCTATCAGCCGCTGTCGCTGTCACTTATCTGAGCCCCAAGGGGACCTGCGGGCGGGGCCACATTTACCCCCCCAGTCAATGGCTCAGCATCCTGGGAGCAAGCTTGTGGTGTGTGTGCGTGTGTGTATGTGTGTGTGTGTGTGTGCGTGTGTGTATGTGTGTGTGTGTGTGTGCGTGTGTGTGTGTGTGTGTGTGTGTGTGTGGTGAACAGGGATAATCAGCCTCACACCAGCCACAGGTACAGGTGAAACCCACATTATGCTGTTTAATCACACCAGACTGCAGTTTTTAGGGAAGTCTAGGGATACCGTAACAGAAACACTGAGAAGATGAATATTATTAGGCAGACTTTGTTTACATTTGCATTTATTTTAGTCATTTCATTTAGTAGCTGCTTTTCTCCAAAGCGCCGCACAAGTGAGGCAAATAACACGAGCTTATGGCTGTCAGGGAGGCGACTGGCGCGGTGCAAGCCCGAGTGCTACTGCTGTCGGAGCAGGAGCTACAAATTTGCCAAAGTAAGAAAAGCTAATAAGACAGATATTCAGTGAGAATCGTCAGGAGGAGTCGGGAATCGGGGAACAGTCAGTGCCGTGCATCTATAGCCATGTTTTAACGACAGGGTTTACAAAGTGCTGTACAGACAATGAAAAGAAAGGAATTAAAATAAGCACAAGAATAAGCACAGAAAAAAATTAAAATGGAATCAGTTTAAAATAAATAAATGAATAAAATAGACGGATAATATAATATAATAGCGCTGGGTGACAAAGGCACAGTGTGCCCTGTAGCGTTGGGTGGCAAAGGCACAGTGTGCCCTGTAGCGTTGGGTGGCAAAGGCACAGTGT